TAGCTAGAATAACGATACGTTTAGTGAAGTAAAAGTAGGGTAAAGCTAGGGTAGGGCAAGGATATAACTAAGTTTAAAGTAACGCAAGAGTATAATTAGAATAGGGATAAAGAAAAACTAAAGCAGGACTAGGGTATTGCTAAGGTAAAGACAGGGTAGAGCTAAACGAAAGCTAAAGTAAGGCTACATTAGAACTAAAAAATGGCTATGTCAGGACTGAGAATTGCCTAGGATATAGGTAGTAAGACTAGGACAAAGCAAGGGTAAGGCTAGAGTATTATTAGAGTAGACCTAAAACAGACTGATCCTAAGGTAGAGCTAGAGTAGGGCTTGCGCTATATTAGTGCTAAGACAGGGCACGACAAAGCAATAACAGAGCTAGAGGTTAGGGTAAAACAAAGGTATTTAGAATTAGGTTGAAACTAAAGTAAGCTTAGGATAACGCTATCTTAAAATATTTATAAACGAAAGTAATTATATCCATCACCCACCAGCCTAGCAGAATAAAAGTATATTTTTTTAAAGTTTAATTTAAAATTTTAATATTTTCAAATGTTAAAAGTCAAAAAAATATAAAAATGGTTGAACTGACCCAGCCAAATCGAGTAACGGAGAAGAAACGAGGTTACAAGAACGTTCCCGATTATGTAAACAGATAAAGGTGATGAATTCGGATTTCGAGAAGCATAAAATATTAAAAGGCATGCATTTTTGAATTCAGATGCACTTTTGCAAAGAATTATGACACATCAACTTCAACACTTTAATCTAAAAAGCCGCCGAAAGTAAGCCTAAGGCTTGGGCTCTGGGCTAGGGCTTTGGGCTAGGGCTTCAGCTTCATCTAAACCCAAGCCTCCCATGTCAACCAAAAACCACTCCTATTATATTCATCCGTTATCCTTTTCCTCCATAACAAGTCAAACACTACTATTATATCATGGTTCATGTGTCGGTGAGATCAAACACAGCCGTGACAGAACGACAGAACATCGTTAATTACACCAGGTTTCGCTCATAACAAGCCGTTTTATGACATTTTATTAATTAAAGAGTATTAATCAGCGACAAAAGTTATAAAAAAGGTCTGGAAAAGCAAATATCAGCCAATGTTGGCTAGCATCCAAAAGAGTTTTTATGGGTTTTTAACAATTAAAGGACCAGTTCGCCCGTTCAAATATCATTGGCATTCTGTCACAAAAATTCGATTTTCATTTTTTTCGCAAAAAACCTGAGCAGGTCGGTCCCAAATTGGAAAATTCATTTCGACACCGACCCACTCACGTTTTTTGAGAAAAATGATCTTGATTGAAATTGCCTGATTTTCGACGCTTTTTGCGACAGAATGCCAATGATATTTGAATGGGCGAACTGGTCCTTTAAAAGTGGTTTGCAAAGAAAAATTGTAGCTTTAGCCCTAGCCTAGAGCTCTAGCCTAAAGCCACGGCTAAGGTAAAGCAAAAGTAAGACTAAGGCGTGGATAGTGTAGGGCTAGAGTAAGGCAATAGGAAGGCTGGAATTGGGCTAGAGTAAGGCTATGGAAAAGCTAGGATGGAGCTAAGGAAAGGTTAAGGTAAAAGTACCTAAAGTCCTAGCCCAGAGTCCTAGTCCAGAGCACTAGCCCAGAACCTTAGCCCAGAACCCTAACCCAGAGCCTAGCCCAGAGCCCTAGCCCAGAGCCCTAGCCCAGAGCACTAGCCCAGAGCCGTAGTCCGATAGCCCTAGCCCGATAGCTCTAGCCCGATAGCCCTAGCCCAAGCACTAAATCTACCTTAGCCGTAAACCTAGCCCTAGCCCTAATCCCTGGCCCAGCTCTACCTTAGTCATCTTTCAGCTCTATCTTAATCTTCGCTCAAATTCCATTTTAGCCCTACCCTAGCCTTATATCGGTTTTCCTTTGGCCTTAGCAGCCCTGCTCTAGCTCCTTTTTAACCTTATCTTAGTTTTGCTTAGCCCTACTTTAGCTCTATTATAGCTTTATCTTAGTTCTATTCTTACCCTAACTTGGTCCTACCATAGCTCTATCTTAGCTTTACCCTAGCTTTATCTTAGTCTTAGCCCTATCCTCTATCATCTCTATTATAACCCTTTGTTGCTTTTATTATTATCCTTTTCCTCACCTCACCTCCAACCCCCCCCCCCCTTCCCCCCTCAAAAAGTAAAAAACAAACTTTGTACATGTATATTTATTTCTTTGCAAGCCAGCAGCGGTAAACAAGTTATTGCTCGCATAACACAACTATGAGATCACTTCACAAAAAACATTATTCTCACTAAAACTTCCGGAAAGCAAACATATCAGTGGGGGGGGGGGGGGGGGGGGGAGGACGAAGAAACATTAGCAGTTCGCGACAAAAAAGTGACCGGTAATGACGGAGGGTTTTGCATGTGGATCACGCTTTCCGTGTTTGTTTCTTGTTTACAAGAAAATCGCCGTTGGGGAGAGCAGTTTTGGGTTGGGAATGGGTAGGGTATTAGGTATGAATAAGCGTATAGGATTTACTTTAGAGATACATTTGTAGCAAGATATATAATAAAATATAGTAAAGTAGAATAAAAATACATTACGATCAGGCTCGGGCGCTGGATAGGGGGAGGGGGTGGGTTGACGGGGGAAGAACCCCCCCCTTCAGATAATAAAAGTTGAACGTGGTCCCCCTGCGGATTTTTCGAACCATTTTTTTGACCCTCGCCTCCCAGAGCAATAGTCTCCGCCCGGCCATGATTACAATTTTAAAAAAAAATTTTTGACTAAAACAGCAAAACTTTGACAGGTCAAAGAAGCGGGCAAGCTTTTTCGTTAACATTACGGAGTGACTGCTGCAGACAGGCTTCGAACCCTGCCGGGGTCTCACTAGGGGAGATGGCGCAACCACTGAGCTAACAGCGGGCGCTGATCTGTCGTCTTCGGTCAAACATAAAAAAAGAAAAATTGTTGTTGGGGGTCGTTCTGGGTATTTTTTTTAAAATTTATATATATTTTTTATTTTGTTTTGAAACATTAATTTTTGAAATTATCACAAAAATGGTTTTTGTAAAATACGTTTTCGTCACCTCTTACTAGGCCGTTTAACTAATTCTGTGCTCCCTTAAAAGCAAATTTTTTTTGGAGTAAGTGACACAGAACTTTTTGAACACCCTAATATTAATCTTGACAAGCTGATAATTATGGTCTCAAGAAAAAAAATCAAAAACCTTTTCCTTCTCGTACCTAGGTCAATGTAAGAGAAAGAAAAGGTAGTGCAAGACAAGGCATAGTATAGACTTAATTAAGATTAGAGTATGACAGAAATAAGACAAAAAAACAAGACCAGCATAGAGGAAGTGTTAAAAAAGAGATAAAACAAGAGTAGGGCTAAGATAGAAGAATGCTAATACAGTACTCTCTTTGTATAAGCAACCCCAAGGAACGAAATTTTTGTGTATACTATAAGGGGTGTTTGTCTTTAAAGAGAGGCTTTTTAGTGCAAATTGACTTGGCGAGGCCAAATTTCCTGTTTACTATAAGAAGAGTTGCTTATACAGATGGTTCACTATATAGAAAGACCACTGTAAAGTAAAGCGAGAAAGATGCCAGTGTGAGGCTAAAATAGAAAGCTAAAGTAAGACTAGGGCTATCCAACATAAACCCTAAGTAGTACTCGTTTAAAGCTAGGGTTAGATTTGCAATTTTTTTGAGAAAAAAATTTTAAAAACACCAAAAATTTTCTGCTGCACTGATTACACATACCACAGTATATGTTACACAGTAAAAGCTAGGGTTTTGAATACAAAAACACTTCATTTCGAATTAACGCTAAAATGATCTTCTTCGTTTTCTTTTTTGATTCTGACGCTTTCAAAGTTGGATCTTCTTGAATCCCGCTGAGTTTTTGAAGCTTTCTAAAAGCCATTTCAAGGAAATGGGATTTGTTTTGGATCAAACGCATTCTCTATTTGAATACGTCAAACATCACGAAATGGAAAAACAGCAAAAATTTGAATTTTTGATCAAAAAGGATTCATGAAGTTTTAAAGTTCTGAGTTTTTTGTAACAGAAATTTTGACGCACCCTGTATGTAAAGGCGTTTTTCAATAAAAAAATAAAAAAAATTTGCCAAAATTGATGTTTTAATAGCATTACCTTGTTTATTATACATCTGTTGGGCTTAAAATCTTAATAGAACAAAAACATTAGATTACAAAAATAAATACGAAAAAGCTTTGATTACAACAGTAAAACATAACAAGGAAAGGGCCCAACCTGCTCGCTCAAAATCAGCTCAAAGTTTTTATATGAATTCTTTGTATGATACCACCAATATTACCCATAAAAAATTTTGTCCCGCACTTTTAGTTTTTATATTTTAAATATTTAAAGTTTCCATTAGTTTGGTAAACTTGGCATTCCGTTTCAAGCACTTTTTTGGTGTTCCCGATAAAATAAGTTTTAAAATTGAAAAATCTTGTTTCAATTAAAGGTTCTACTATTATAGTATATCAAAGAAAAATGATTAAAGGTCAAAAAATGACAAAGTTATAAGCTTGAAACACAATGCCAGTTTGGCGGAAAATTCAAAACGTAATTTTTTGATCTCGATTTTCTCGAGATTTCCTGGAAAGCGCGACTTAGTACTTTGCTGTAGATCTTATATTTACATGATCTTTTTATATCAAAAATTTGAAGTAAATCAGAGCGGAGCAGATTTGGTACTTTCTTTGTAACTTCAAGGACTATAATTTCGGCTAAAAACTAATGTAATTCTATAAAGAATCAAAATTACAACAAACAAAACTTTGAAAATCTAATTATTATACCTAAAACTATAATAATAATCTCAAAAAATGTCATAGTACCTCGAGAAAAGACCATTGTAGCTAAAAACAACTACAATATGCACAATATTTTACTATCATTTACAACTACCGCATTATAGTGCCATACAATACACTAAAACTTTAAAAAAACATCCGTCTAAGAAACAAACAGAAACAAAATTTAAAACACAACTTCAAGTCATAACTTAAGGATGATAATTGACTGGATTAGGGTTGATCGACTTGACTCCAGAAGCGATCAGACTTTTGACAAATTCATTTAAAAGGCCATGCTTGAAGTCGCTAGGGGCATGTGGGGGTAGATTCAGGTCAGCACACCAATACACTCGAAGCTTGGTATAGTTAGAGCCAGTGTGTTTGAAGCGATATCCGATAAAGTGGTACTGGGCACGTTGTACTTCTGAAGATTCTGGAGCATCAGGATGAGTGGTACTGACTCCTGCTACATAGGTCTCGTTCTCTGACTTTTTGACCTGGAATTTTGAAGTTTCAAAGAAAAAATTTAAATTTTCATTTCAAAATTCCAATTTAAAAAATGACTTTTTTCAGAGCAAAAACTAAAAATCGTATTTTACCTTATAAACGACCACAGATTCCCTGGTCGGCAGAACACCACGATGTTTGAATACAGTATGAACCACATACACATCGTCTCCAATTTTCTGTAAAACTTTTTGCTTTTCAATTTGAATGTCCCATTGTTTTCGTTGTGGGCCAAATGGCACTATTTTGTCGAACAACTTTTCCACTGATTCCTGAAACGTATTTTATATTACAGTACTAATTTAATTGTAGGATAAGGTAAGGCAAGGAAAGATATAGCAAGGCAAGGCTAAGCTTACAGCTGAGGTTGGGGTTGAATTTAAGACTAGGGCTAGTGCTAAAGCTAAGGCTAAGAACAAAATTAGAACTATGGCTAGAGCTAAAGCTAGTGCTAAAGCCTAAGGCTAGAGATACGGCTGAGAAAGAGACTAGGACTAGAACTAGTGATAAAGCTAAAGCTAAGGCTAAGACTGCGGCTAGGGTAGAGCCAAGGTTAAGGCTAGAGCTAAGGCTACGACTAAAGCTTAGGCAAAGCTAAGACTAACAAAATGCAAAGGCCAAGAAGGCTAAGACTAGGACTAAAGCTAGGGCTGAGGTTAGGGCTGAGGCTAGGCTTGAGGCTAGAGCTGAGGCCAAGACTGAGGCTAGGGCTGAGGCTAGGGCTGAGGAAAAGGCTGAAGCTAGGACTGAGACTAGAGCTGCGGCTAAGACTGAGACTAAGGCTACAGCAAAAAAAAATTGAACCTAAACATAAAAAAGAAAATAAAATCTCTTACATTCAGTAAAGTGTTCATCTTCAGCATGTTCTCCTTAGCTCCAGGCACATCATTTGGTGGTCCAGAGAACACTTTAACTTCTTCAGTATGAGAATCCGAACTGAAGTCATGGTGAGGGAATCTGGAGAGTTTATCTTGAGCATATTTCTCAACCAACTCTAAAGCTGCTGATGCTTGTTCTACGTACTGTTGCTCAGTGGGGTAGGACATGGCTAAAAATATTAGAGTTTATGAGGCTTGCACATCAATTTTTAAAAGTTTTAGCTCGAAAAATACAATTTTTCGCAAATTTTTATTTGTAAAATACGCCGATTAAATTATATAATGTAATTTCGCATTTTTTTCAACGCTCTATTATACTTAGACATTAAAATTACAAAACATTTTTAAAAAGAAAATGAAAATCATTTTGAATTAAGTCTAGGATTAAGGCAATCCAGCACTAGGGTACATAAGAGCTAAAGCTAAGGATAGGGCTAGAACTCGGGCTAAAAGTCGAACTAATACTCGGGCTAAAGCTCTCGCTAAAGCTAGAGTTAAGGATAGTGCTAAGACTAGACAAGAAGAACGGTCCGGACCAGACTTGACCCAAATTAAAGTTGAGCCAAGCCTGAAAATCAAGGCTCGGCCCAAAAAGCACGGTCCGTTTAAACGTAAAAAAAATCTTTTGTGCCTAGGCTTGAGCAAAACTTAGATCGGGCCGGGCATGAAAAATGAGCCCAAGCCCTAGCTAACTCTAGTTCTAACCCGGTCACCAGCGTTAGCCCTTGCCTTAGCCTTGCCTTAATTCTAACTATTTTTCTTTTTCTTTTTAAAAGTTTTTCCTAATTTAGGCTATAGCTAGGATACATATCACCTTGAAAATAGATTTTCCTTCTCTTTCTATCACCTTTTTTGTGATAAAACGCACTCTTATCAATAACAAGGTTTTTAAAGTCTTGTGAATGAACGAGGAAACTATTTGTTTACTATTGTTTGAACATTGCTTGTAACTATGTGAAACAATCAAAAAATTGTAAAAAATAGCTCAAACATATTCTTAAGTAAAGATATAACAATGAAAAAAATTAGCCCTAGCCCAAGCACTAGGCCTAGCCTTCGTCCTTTGAAATTTCTAAAGCCCTTTTTACTAAACTTTATAAAAACCAATGTCTTTTGACCAAAATGTTCGTATAAAATCTCGATTTTAGCCTTTAAACCTTCAAAAACAAAAAACACTAATAAAAACGGCGCTAGGACAAATGCGGTTTTTGGACATTTGCGGATCTGCGGTTTTTAGACACTTGCGGATCTTCGGTTTTTGGACACTTGCGGATTTTGGACATTTGCGGATTTTTTAAAGGGGTTTTTTTTATTTTTTATTTAATTTATTTTTAGTATGGCACTAAATCGTACTAAAGTTTAAATTGGCACTGTCTTAATATTTCTTAATGTTAAATAGTACTAAATTTTTAATCGGTACTGTTTTTATATTTTTGGTACTAAATAGTACTAAAAGCCCAAAAAAGTACTGTTATGTTAAAACCGTATCAATTCAAACTTTAGTACAATTTAGTGCCATAATACAACTAAATTAACTAAAAAATAAAAAAAACCCCTTTAAAAAATCCGCAAATGTCCAAAATCCGCAAGTGTCCAAAAACCGAAGATCCGCAAGTGTCTAAAAACCGCAGATCCGCAAATGTCCAAAAACCGCATTTGTCCTAGCGCCATAAAAACACCGAAGAATGCCATTTAAAACCCAATATAGACCCCAAAAACCGTTTATGAACGCCAGTAAAACAGATGAAAAAAGTGTATTTTTGGCTTTGGCTAAAATAGTGCAATGGCCCGTTTCTCCTTTTTTTCTCCTCGAAAGCCTCCGTCCACTATATCAATGGGTATAAAAGGTGGCAGCTGCCGAAATAATAAGGAAACAACGAATGGTTTGTACTTTAATGCTTTACATATGTTTGTAATTTAAAGTTATAGTATCAAAAGATTTGAGGGGATGAGTAGTATCTACTGCAAAAAGATCTGTAAGGCCAAGGGAAGTATAGTGAGGTAGCGTGAGAAAAGGTAAGGCAGGGCGAAGGCAGGGCAAAAGCAGGGAAAAGGCAGGACAAAGGCAAAAGCAAAGGCAGGGCAACAAAATGTTTCCAAAAAAACCTTTTCAAAAGATCCCTCATCTTCACCCTCATTAAAGAGCCATAGCCAAGAAGTTAAGCTTGCAAAGTTAAATAACAGCTAACTTTTAAACCATTTCTTAAAATGCACATCTTAACTATTGTAACACTTTTCGAATACCAAAAAACCTATTTCCTAGTTAATCAACCCTCTCTTCCACATAGTAAAAATAAAAACAATGTAAACACAACTATTTTCACAAAAAACAACGTGATAAATAAGAAACTAATAAACCCCTATTCCGAAACGTTTAACTAAAAATGCACTTTTTGTTTCGTGAAAAATTTCTTTCAAATAGACTTTCCATGTGATAAAAATATTCACATCAAAAAACGTAAAAGGAACTATTCGAGTAGTCGAGAAGAAGCAAAACACAATGCAATTTCACTATTTTTAGAGCGCTGAGGGATAATCCAATAGGTGAAAACTTATTAGTTTCTTCAAATAATTCCGTGCTCCCCTCTCAAAGCAAATTTTTGGGGTTTTTAGCACAGAATTTATTTGAACAACCTATATATTACGATAGACTACAAAAATGTGTTACAGTGCTTGAAACAAAAAATGTGCCAAATCGGCGAAAAAACTAAAAATTAAAATTTTAAAACTTAAAAGTGCGTGCTAAAACTTTTTAGATTTACTATTTATGGTGCGAAGAATTCATATAAAGATGCTGAGCTCCTTCTAAGCGAGGCAGGTTGGGTACGTTCCTTGTTATTATGTTTCCCTAGTTTTAAGGTGCGCGCCATTATTGCGTTAACACATTACTCTTCGTGACCCAAACGCAAAAGTAGTATCGAAGACGCTATCGCGCTGCGCACTTACCTTTGTCTATTTCTCAACACAATCAGGGTTATATTTTCGCCTTATATTATATTCACCAAGGCGTGCTTGCTACTGGTAGCTTAAAATTATGGTTTCGCACTTCAAAGTCGTCGCAAAAACTTTGAAATTGCAAAAACCTAATTTAAAGAAAAAATGTTTGGAAGCCTTCTGTAAACATATGTTGAACACTATGTACGACTCTCCACAGGTGACGATGGAGTTGAGCAAAATGCTTGTGAAGTTGGCGGTAAGTATTTTTTAATTTTTATTTGATGTACTACATTGGTACTCTTGTATAAAGAACTCCTATATAATTTTTTTAAATGATAACGTTTGAAGCAAGTAATGAGATGATTTGTAAATTTATTTATATCAGTACCGTTTCAGACATTATCAAACAATACACGCACTACAATTAAAGAACTGCATTCTGGGTTCGATTATTTAGTAATAGACTTACAACAAAGGACATCATTTAAATGTTCGACAGAATTAGGGCCATATATGGCTCCAAATGTTAAAAGTTTAGTAGCGATGACAAAACTTGTGTTTGGAGATAATGTGCCAGAATTAATAATTGAAATTTATGGATCACAAACAGTCGACAAACAAAAACATATTGAATTTATCGACTGGTGTAAAGGTAATTTACTTTATCTTAATAAAAAAGAATTATTTTACAAACACACTTTATATAGCGAAGGCAGAGCGCTGAGGCGTTAGCTATTGTATCTATTATATATAGAAGGACTATCGTATTTTATGTAATTTTTTAATTTTAGAAATTCTTTTAACTCCAAAATTGGGAATTTACATTTATAATTCAATGTTTGAACGTCAATTAGTGCCAGTTGTGGATATTATTGAACACCTCGATAGACAGTTAAACAGTTTAATATGTAATGCCAGAGAAATAAGATGGTTGGGTAATGTAAAAACCAATGTCTTTCAACTACGAGGTTGGAACTCTCATTCTTGTAAGTTTTGATATAAATAAATTTCCATTTTGTTTTTAACTTTTTCTACATTTTTAGTTTAATTTAGATATAATAAATAAAATCTTTGAGTTATAAATTAAAGGTTTAAGTACATATATACGTTATAGATATGGAGCCAGCAATGCATACTGACACAAAGTGCCTAAAAAACTTTACTTTGGATTTATTTGAGAATTCGTAAGTTATCATCAGGGCCGGGTATTAGAGGGGGAGGCGGATCTTCAGACAAACGTTTTTATAAATAGGTTAAAAGTTTGAACTCAATAAGAACGTGGCAATACTCCGATTTCTTTCTTTACAAAACAATACAAAAAAAAACTTATTTTTGTTTACAATACTCATTTCCAGATACTACAACCCATCTGTCGAATATTTGACCTGCGACTTTCGAGCTGATGTCGATTGTAACTATTACAAAGAGCTGTTGACCAACATCAACATATCCTTTCCAAACCTTCAACAACTTTACTTGATCACACAAGGACGGGATTTAAATGTTGAAGGCGTCTTAGAGTTCTGTGATCTACTATGTGAAATAAGAAGTGTTGTAGAGGAAATAATCAGTGTAATCAAACAAATGGTTCAAGTTCCTGCTCTACCAGTTGAACTACAAGGTACCTATTACATCGACAAAGAATTATTTTGTTTTAGTGAATACTATCTAAAGGTATTTAAAGAATATTTTGAAGATAATGGCTATACTAGGATTGATGACTATTTTTATGTTCGTGGAAATTTTACATTTAGATTGTTTATGATATTTACACACTAAAAATAAATAGTTTGTACGTTTATTACGGTTTTTTATTACTATTGTAACCATTAATTTAAAAACGAATAGAAATTGCTAAGTGCATGGAGACTCTAGAAGTCAGTCGTCCTACACAGGCTTTTGATTACGGCTTGAATTCTTTAGAAGTACTTCATCACGAATTGACAGTTCGAGAAACGGGATCACCTGGCTGGGGCCCAGTTGGGAACAGCTACAATAGATTGTTCTGACGTTCTTTACCGAAATCCTCACCATCTCTCCCGTCTCAAATTATATATTTCTTGCGTTGAAAAAGGGAATATTCATTTATGTTATAGTATTAATCCTATAATAGTAGTAATCCAGTGCTGACATTGATTACACGGCATCTGGACTACTGTAACCTTGATTTTGGAGTTTATTCCAATTTTTGACTAGTGACTAGAACATATTCAAATTTTTTATTATAATTATGCAAATATAAAACAATAAAAATTGTTCTACATCAAATAGGATTAAATTTTTCAGTTTGTTATCTATATTTGACAAATCATGTTAAAAGCGGCCGCAATTGCTAAAGAAAAGCGGTTTTATCGTTATGGAGAACAAATCCTCCAACGGCGCAACTGTCGTTATATCTTCATTATGAACGTGAGTTTCTTACTGTATTTTGAGTTTTTTATTTACTTTGTACCGTGCTTCTAAATGCCATATTCTTTATATTATACATCACTGTATGGCCTTCTTACTTCAGATAATCTTGTTGCTTGTCGTCCTCATTGTGAACAAAGCTACTGTCAGTTTTAAGGAGGCATTTGAGGTAAAACATTTTAAGCAAAACTATTTTTACTGACTATTTTTATCATTTTGCGATTTTTTATTATTTTTAATTGATTATGAATACTTTTAGATAGCTTTAGAAGGGGTAAAAAACGAAGAGGAGCTATATCAGTATCGTCACATTCAAGAGAACGCTGTTGAGTTGCGATGCCCTTATGGAATGTTCACTGAGTTTAATATTGTAAGTTATTTATTAGCATTTTTAAAAGTAAAATGGTCCTTTTCTTAACTTTTATGAAAAAAAATGATTTTTGGGCTAAAAATTTATTTGGACCTCTTCCTCAAGGTTAATATAGGCTTGTACTATAATAATAACAAAAATTACTTAACAGTCGGACAGATTGTATAGTTTAATTACTTTTAAAAGTTTACTATGTCTTTTTTATTTTGGATATCATTTCAAACATATACATTAACTAGAGCAGATCTCAAAGGGAGTAAACTAGGTCCGGCCCGGCTCGGCTTTGTTGCAGTCCGGCTCAAGAAGCAAAATTGAAAGCTCTAATGGGCCTAGCTTAGGTCCCACAACGAAAGATTTGACTTGCAGAAAGTGTATTCCTTTACAGTTTAAAGTAGAGTAAACCATTTTAGGATGAATGTATGAATAATTGTCAAGGTTCTATGGTACGAGAACGAAAAATCCTTCGCCCTCCTTCGACATTCGGGTTGAATTACGTTTACACGCAGTGTCCTCCATTGGTTGATATTGTAAGTTATGTTTTTAATTTTCTTATTTAAAGCTGGTTTTGATAATATAACGTTTTGAAGTTGATATGATGTTATAGTAGGGGTAATCCTCTCATTTTTTATTTTTATTTTTTTTTGGTGGTACAACCTTCTTGTTTTGATATCATATTATAATAGGTTGTTCAGATAATTTTGTGATTTCTTTAAAAAAAAAGTTTTGGGGTTAAGGGGCACAGAAATATGTGAACGACCTGTTATTTTGTTGCTGAAGATTTTTATTGGTTCAGCGTGTCGTATGCTTTTTCTATTTCAAATCAAAATTCTGTGGTTTTTCAGATGCCATGCCACATAGAATTCTGTAACATAAGTCATTTTGAAGAACCAGTCGAAGAATGTAAAGGATCACAATTAACAAATACGTTCGGCGATGGTCAAAGTAAAATGGTAGGTTTTGTGAATTTTATCGTATGTTAACTATAACGAGAGCTACGTTGTCAAGTATAGGCTTACAGAGTGCGCCAAAAGTTCTTTTACAAAACTTTACCGGTTGTATGTTGCGGTTAAATTATCTAAAAACTGTGTGACTCATATTTGACAAAGTAATTCTTGTTGTTACGACATATTCTTTGATTTATATTACATATGGCCTTACCTATAACAATTTAATTTTATACCTATAACATTTTAATTTTATTTTTTTTATAGGTCTTTCAATAAATTTTTGGTCTACTTTAGTGATTTTAGCTCCATTTTTGACTAATTTAAATCTTTTTAGGTAATAAACAAGGAGAAGATGGGTCCCATCGCTTTGAACATAGAATTCATTACAATTTGTCCAGCCTGCAAAGTAGTCAACTGCTTTGGAGCGTAAGTTGTGGGACGATTTTAATATTAAGTGGTTCAATTAATTATGTGCCCTTTTCAAAAAAACTTTTTTGGGAACAGGGGGCACCTAATTATTTGAATAACATAATAGGGCTATGGCTTCTCCTTTTTATCATTTTTTCCTCGTTTTCTCAACGTTACCTACCTTACATCTCTGTCTACTCTTTTCTAGCGTACCACTGACCCTCCTTTCCGTATTCACCCTATCCAAAATGTTATACTACATTGTATAAAAGTTAAAACCGATTTCAATTTCAGAAAAAAACAAGCTTGTTATTTGGAACAAGAAGAATTATCACCAGGATATCCAGCTCATCGCCATTGTGAACCAATCCTCCTAGATACCAATTGTAGTCATACACCTAACCACAACTTCACAAGAACTCGAGAAGCTTTGGCGTATTACAAGGAAGTGAACAATAAAATTCTATATTGACGCTTATTTGAATAAATTTTGCCATTTTTAATATTAAGTGGTACCTTTGAAGGTTATTTGGGTTTTATGTTTTGAAGAGTATGGTACTCTACCCGACGATACCCTACCTTACTTTACCCTTCCCTACGCTATCTTATTTTGCCTTACCCTACCCTGTCCCTACTTTACCAATGTAGAGTAAGACATTATACAGGAGTATTGAAAAACTACAACAAATATAGACATTGTAGAAATAAAGTACAGTAAGCTTCCAAAAAACAAATAAATTTGCAAAATTTAATAAGTAAAAAATAGAAATGTACAAAATTAAGCAATCTGTAAGCCTCTCTGTAACGCGTCGATATCATAGTTGTTAACTGCTGCCATTAAATTCGAATCGGTCTTGTCCATTCTAATCAGAGCCGACCGCAAAGTCGACCAAATCGGCGAATTCTCACTACCTTTTTGGAGCTTCAGGGCGTTCACAAAGTGGTCGGCAGCTTCTCTGAAAACGAAAAAATAATATTACTCTTTCGGTTTTGTATAGGTATTGGACCTTGTCCTGGTCTAACTCTATTCTACCTTACAGTAATTCCACCATAAATTGCCATTACCAATACTCTCCTCCACTTTGACCTACCATATCTTACCTTGCCTTACATTACCTTACCTTGCCTTACATTACCTTACCTTACCCTACCCTACCCTACCCTACCCTACCCTACCCTACCCTACCCTACCCTACCCTACCCTACCCTACCCTACCCTACCCTACCCTACCCTACCCTACCCTACCCTACCCTACCCTACCCTACGCTACCCTACCCTACCCTACCCTACCCTACCTTACCCTACCCTACCCTACCCTACCCTACCCTACCTTACCCTACCCTACCCTACACTACTTTACTTTACTTTACCCTACCCTACCAAACCGTGCTTATTCCTACTTTACCCTATATATACTCTAGTTTTTCCTAATTTACCCTACCCCTTACCATAAATTACCTCTGCGGGGCTCGGCCTACTCTACCTTACAGTACCTTACAATAACTTTTTCTCTTTTACCCTACTCTACCCAATCCTATCTATTATACCCATCCTTACTCTTCCAACGTTATCCTCATTGACACTATTCAAAAAAAACCAACCCTTACCTATAACAATTCAAATGCATGCACGAAATCCCCAAATTGTACCGTGCCCTAACATATGCAGGGAACAACTGTAGTGCATGTCTGTACGCTTCAATGGCTTAAAGTACAGTAAGCTTCCAAAAAACAAATAAATTTGCAAAATTTAATAAGTAAAAAATAGAAATGTACAAAATTAAGCAATCTGTAAGCCTCTCTGTAACGCGTCGATATCATAGTTGTTAACTGCTGCCATTAAATTCGAATCGGTCTTGTCCATTCTAATCAGAGCCGACCGCAAAGTCGACCAAATCGGCGAATTCTCACTACCTTTTTGGAGCTTCAGGGCGTTCACAAAGTGGTCGGCAGCTTCTCTGAAAACGAAAAAATAATATTACTCTTTCGGTTTTGTATAGGTATTGGACCTTGTCCTGATCTAACTCTATTCTACCTTACAGTAATTCCACCATAAATTGCCATTACCAATACTCTCCTCCACTTTGACCTACCATATCTTACCTTGCCTTACATTACCTTACCTTGCCTTACATTACCTTACCTTACCCTACCCTACCCTACCCTACCCTACCCTACCCTACCCTACCCTACCCTACCCTACCCTACCCTACCCTACCCTACCCTACCCTACCCTACCCTACCCTACGCTACCCTACCCTACCCTACCCTACCCTACCTTACCCTACCCTACCCTACCCTACCCTACCTTACCCTACCCTACCCTACACTACTTTACTTTACTTTACCCTACCCTACCAAACCGTGCTTATTCCTACTTTACCCTATATATACTCTAGTTTTTCCTAATTTACCCTACCCCTTACCATAAATTACCTCTGCGGGGCTCGGCCTACTCTACCTTACAGTACCTTACAATAACTTTTTCTCTTTTACCCTACTCTACCCAATCCTATCTATTATACCCATCCTTACTCTTCCAACGTTATCCTCATTGACACTATTCAAAAAAAACCAACCCTTACCTATAACAATTCAAATGCATGCACGAAATCCCCAAATTGTACCGTGCCCTAACATATGCAGGGAACAACTGTAGTGCATGTCTGTACGCTTCAATGGCTTCGGCCGTACGATCCGAATTGGCTAGTGTAGCACCCAGACGATTCCATAGCCTAGGGTCATCTGGGGATTGAGCAATGGCTGTTTTTATCGAATCAACAGCGCGGTCGAATGTGCCGTTCAGATTGTAAAGTACTCCCAGAGCATTCTGTAGTTCTGGATCGGCGTTCGTCTGGCCTCGAGCTGCTTCTAGGAAGCGGGACTCGATTTGTTGGAAGCGAAGTGGATCTATGAAGGCACCGTAGAAGCCGAGGCGAGGCTTTTCGTTCTCCTAAAATATTATAGTTAAAATGTTTTTTGAATAGTGTAATGCTTTTTATGGTAGACATAAAATCACTATTTTTTAGGCTTATTTTAATTGTTCTTTAGGCTTATTTTTGTTGTTCTAGCCAAATTTTTACTACAGTCAAACCTCTTTAGTATGACACTCTATGGCACTAAAGAGCTTAGACCAAAGGTTCATTATAACCAGAGTGTCACACTTCCAGCTACTTTCTGACAAGCGTTCTATTACAAAAAGCGATCAAAAAGCTGTCGTTGTAAAGAAGGTTTCATACTATGAAGAATCGTACTAAAGAGAACGTTATACTATCAAAGGTCATACTAAAGAGAATATCATACTATCAAGTGTCATACTGAAGACGCTTCACTGTATATTATACTGATTTACCTTAAGAAAAGCATGTGGCCTATAAGATAAATCCAAAGGGTCAATTTGACCAAAGGTTGTTGGTCGTACCTGCATTTTTAAACATAAATTACTGCCACAGAAAACTTTTACATATAAATTTTGAGTTACAGTAAACTGGCATTATAAGCCACACCCAGGGACGTCGCTACTGATTTTTTCTAGAGGGGGGGGAAGGAAAGTAAAAAAAATTTTTTGTCGTTACTTATTGATCCATTTAAAAATTTTTTCCACTTTTTCACGTATAACACCGTTAAACTTTTTTCAGGTTAGCTCTGATAAGGCCTTCTCCCTCCCTCTAACAACGTCCCTGGCTACTACACATGAAAAACAAGCCAGGCCTGAGCAAAATTTAGGTCAAGCCTAACATTCAAGCCCAGCCCGTGGGCCGGGCCTACAAAATAAGCTTGGCCCGTTATCCATGTCTACTAGCTACACCCTAGACCTGCAAAGCGGCCAAGCCCAAGTTGCTCTTCCAAACTTGCTAGGACTGCATCTAAAAGAATGGGCCCCATTTCAAATCTAGCTAAATCAAAAGACAATCACTTTAAGTTTTTATCTTTTCTTATCTTTAAAAAAATAAAAAAATTTTTGAAAATTTAAACTTTTTCAATCCTTACCTTCCCCAAACTGCTGACCCCCTTATAAGCATCCAGCCACTTCTCCAGTTGACTCAGAGCCTCGTTACTGTAGTTTTCGTTGGCCAAACTGACAGAATACCCCAACAACGCTTCTCTCATTTGTGGATCCACCTCTAGGGCTTTTCGGAACGATGACATGGCATTGATGTCGTGTTCATTCTCAGCGTGACAGAAGCCTAACCGGCACCATGCATTCGCATCTTGTGAATTCTTTTGGACTTGAGCTTCGTATAGTAGGATGGCTTCGTTCGTGTTGCCATTTCGCATTTCATTTAGGCCGGCGGCCATTAGGTCGGCGTCTGAGTTGGCGTAGGGATTGGACTGGAATTGGGAGGGGTAATATTTTTATAAAATTAGGGGGGGGGGGAGTTTTTTGAAATTTTTAGTGAAATTAAAGGATTAAGGTTTAAAAAGATATCATTTTACAAAATAGGTAACAAATTCAGAAAAAAGATAACAAATATGACTTAAAATACAAAAAGATTACTAAAAACATACCAAATTCGTACTGTTAACACTCCTAAAACGTAAAAACTCAAAAAAAATTTTAAAAATAAAAAAAAATTTTTTTCGAAGAAAATGCCCTACCTCTTCAAACTGATACTCCATTGGATATTCCTCCGTCACATCCTCAACACCACTCCAACTGTCCATGCCAGCTTGGAATATTTTGTCAAATTCCGCGTCCAAAGTCGACTGGTCGATTGGTGGGACATCGCTTCGCACTTTGTCAGCAAATTCTTGGGCCCATTGGTCGCCTAGGGCTTCACTGAAAATTTTTAAATTTATAACTTAATAGTCAAAAAAAGTTATAGCTTCATTACAAATTGTTAGATATGCACAAATAGGTAAAGGCTACCCTGCTATATAAAAAGAACCAGACCTCTCCCAGCATCATCGGCAACAGACCGTCTATATATACATAATAAGTGGTTCAAAAAGAAATGAGCCACGACTAGTAGCAATTTTTTAAAAAATGACTTTAATGTATGTTATTCTACTTGACTTTCCCTTAGTCTGTGTTACTTTACAAGAGTTTACTCTATCTTATTTTGCATGCACTTACCTTATTCTACGTTACCTTACAAGCCTTTAACCTACTCTATGCTATCTTACATATCTTTTCTCTATGTTACTTTATATGACATTGCCATGCTCTACGTTACTGTACATGCCTTTACCTTACTCTATTTTACTGTACATGCCTTGATTCTAATCTATGTTACTTTAAATAGCTTTACCATACTAAAGGTTACTTTAAATGGCTTTACCTTGCTCTATATTAATTTACATAACTTTACCCTACTCTATATTACTCTACCTGACTTTACCCTACCCTACTCTACGTTACTGTACATGACATAACTCTACTTTTTGTTATTTTACTTTCTTTTACACTACTCTATGTTACTTTGCATGCCATTACTCTTAACATAACCTATCCTACCCTATTACCAACAACACCTACCCTTGTTGAGCCTGATTCCAAGCCGCTTCTAGCCCTCCAGCCGGTTGACTTGTCTCAATCCACTGGTCGAACTCTTTCGACCATTGTTCATGCATTTGTGGTCCAGGAATAGCCAAACTTCTTTTCTGAAACTCCTCTGCCCATTGATTCGGTAATTCATTGGCCAAAGGGTTCATATTAAATCGATTCTGTTGTCTGAATTCCGTCGCCCATTTATCGACCATTTGGTTTTGTGGGTTTTGTCGTTGAGCTTTGACAAAGTCGTCGGCCCAACGAGATGATTGTGATTGACCCAAGAGTTGGCGGACGTTAATTGAGGCTGGCTGGGGTTGAGATCGGTTGGCTTGTGCTAGGTATTCTTGAGCAAACTGTAAATATTGCTTTAGTATGTTACTTTACACAGAACGACAAGTGAAAATTTAAAAAAAATCTAAATCCCTAAAGGCAACTCTATTGCCTTAAAGGCAACTCTAATGCCCTAAAAGAACGACAGTGCCCTAAGGGCAGCCCTAGTGCCCTAAAAGACATTTTAGTGTCCTAAAGACATCTCTAATGTCCTAAAGGCAACTATAGTGCCCTAATGCAACAATAGTGTCCTAAGCCAACTCTAATGCCCTAAAGTCAACTTTAGTGCCCTAAAGGCAACTCTAGTGCTCTAAAGGCAACTTTAGTGCCCTAAAGGCAACTCTAGTGCTCTAAAGGCATCTCTAATGCCCTAAACGCAACTATAGTGCCCTAAGGAAACACTAGCGCCCTAAGGCAACTCTAGTGTCCTAAGGCAACTCTAGTGTCCTAAAAGCAACTCTATCGACCATAACAACCCTAAAATGAAACAAATATATCCTTAAATCCCATACCTGATCACCTGTGGACCCACTAGGTCCTAACTGGTCAATCTGACTTTCAACGCCAGATCTGATCTGGCTATTTGACGTCCCATAAGTCCTCGCCAAGTTCTGGACGGCGTTGGTCGGAGCACAAGAATCATTTAGTTTATTCGACATCTTGGCTTGTTAATCTAAAAATTTTAGGTTTATTTAGAATGAAATCAAGAAGAAATGGCAGTTTAAGCGACAAAATTTTTTGGCAAGAACACTGTCCGAATATGAATAAGCCAATAATCATTTTTTAAAAAAAGTACGGTTTTTTAGAATGTTTCATGGAAGATACAATGTATTCCAATGATAAAATATGGTTATTGAGTATGATGTTTAAAAATCAAAGTCGGACGCTTTGAATGGCTCATTCATATTTGGACAACCTCATGAAAATCGACAACTTTTGCCACAACTGATAATTATTATTAAAACTTTAAAATTTTTAAAAAAATTTTCATACGATAGGATGACCTAGATCCATAAAGAAAAGACTTCAAAAGCTGTCGGTATAAACCATTAAAATAAGCTATATCTCCACCATCTTAACACAAAACTAAAGCTAAAACTATCAAAAACATTAAGAAACCTTCATTGCTCCACAAATCAATATAATTACAATCAAACCCCAATATTCACCTTCAAAAAACCGGGTAAACTAACGAAAATGCAAGAAGAACCCAGAATGAACAACACTTTTCGTAGTTTATATCAAAAACGCGACGTCAGATGTTAGAAAAATGTTTTTTTTTTCATTTGATAACAGTTCATTAATTAAAATTGAAAGCATCTGAAGTAAGAAAAAATGCTGCTTTTGCGCGTTTCGTAGTTTTTTAAATTTTTAAAAGATTTTTGTAATATTACAATGTTATTTTAAGTTTTTACTGTACTCTATCCTAACCTACCCTATCCTACCCTACCCTACTCTACCCTAACCTACCCTAAACTACCCTACCCTAAACTACCCTACCATACCCTACCCTACCATTCCCTATCTTACTATACTCTACCCTGTCCCTACCCTACTTAGTCCAAATCCAAGTTTATCCTAGCTCTATTTCTAGTCCATCCTAGTGCTATTGCTAATTCTAACCCAGATATACCTTTGCCCTATAGAGCCCCACTCTTGCTCAGCCTTGTCCATCCTTGGTCAACTCTACCCCTTCCCGTAACTCCACACAGCTCGGATTGCCCAAACCATCCCTACGCCCTTTTCATACCCTATTTATCCTCACTTTCTTCTTCACTACCCTATTCTACCTTTCACTACCATACTCCATTACACGACGTGCTACTTTAATGGCAGAGTTAAAGGTAAGTTTAAAGTATAGTTTAGAGCAGGAAAAAGTATGGTAGGGTTAAAGGTAGAGTCAGGTCATATTAGAGGTAGAACCTACCCTACCTTATTCTATCATTGCCTCTCCTACACTAGTTCAAAGCTAGCTTCTTGGTGGAGTTAGAAATAGGGTATAATTTAAGGTATCCAAAGCATGGTAAAAGTTGAAATAGAGTAAGGTAGATCATATTACCTAAAAAAGTAAAATCTGATAAGAAAACGGTTGTTTACTGTTTATCATATCAAAAGATATAATGAAATCAACTTCCTACCAATAGATAAAGAGACACTGCCGTATTTTACTTGATTTTATTTTAGAACCAAAAAAGGTTGTTACAAACATACAAAATATGATAAGATTGCAATGATATAGAGATATAGGTCACATGTGAACATGGATACAAAAGGTAAGTACAATACTATTAGATTGTTTAAATAATTCTGGGCCCTTTTCAAAGAAAATTTTTAAGCTTAAGAGGCACAGAATTATGTGAGCAACCTAATCTGTTACAAAAAATTTTAAAATTGAAAAGACATCGAAAAAAATTTTTAAAAAAATCTCAAAAAATCTACCGGTCAATAATTAAATGCTTTGTTACTACTAGTTGCTGCGTTATAGCTCATATTGTTAATGATCAAACTCTGAGTTACAATTAAAGCCTACTTAATTATTAGATTGTTCATATAATTCTGTGCCCCTCTTCAAAACTAATTTTCGAGTTTAGGAGCACAAAATTATCTGAACAACCTAATAATACAATATAAAATATAACAATATTAAGGTTACAAACAAGTCTTGTCGTTTTTAAACCTAAAACTAAAGGCAAACTGACGACACAACTTTTGCTACCTTAGTATCTACCTAAAATATTGAATTCAATATCTCAATATCTACCTAAAATATCAATTTCAAACAAAATTTTTAAAAAAATCAAATTAAAATTGATAATTTACACAAAATTGAGAGGTCGTTTGGACTTGGGCGTTAGTAATGACAAGAACAGTGACTTCTTGTAGTCGTTAATGTCCTCTTCCGATGGAGTTGAGTCGTTCTCCACCAGGTCGAATATCTCATTCTTTTCGGGTTTCAAAGCCGATGAGAATAGGAGGTTCAGCGCGAAGAGTTGACATATCACCATAAAGTTGCATATAACTAAAATTTAGAATTTTAGGTAACAAAACTTTTTTAAAACGAAATTAAATTTTTTCAACAACATATTGGATAACATTGTAAAATACTTTTTAAAACCAAATTTCTGACCTGACATAGTATCATGCACCAGCTAAATGATTTAAAATGTATTAACTTACATCTAGCTGATTCAGGTATCGACAAAATTGGTCCACAGCGGATCAAATTCAGCCTCAGAAACACATTTTGGAAAAGTAATGGGTACTGTGCTGAAAACGAAAACAAAGCCAGAGAGATGGATCTTATTACCGTCACCATTTGGTACTCGTGAAGTTCGTGCTAAAAGTTTAATACCAATTTCAATTTTTTAAAATTTCAAAAAGTTTAATTAAAGAAAATGTTAAAATACGTCTATAAAAATGTCATCATATAAAAACGTGTACATACTGACAGCTCATAATTATAACTTACTGAACCTATAATATCAACAAGAACCAATTTCTAAACCAAAATTCCCAAAAAAAAACAAAAATTTTTTCAAAATATGTTTTAATTAGATATCAACCTACCACAACAAGCCTAGTAAAAGTATGCGACCCAAAAACGACAGCAAAAGTCGAGAGTAGGGCGACCATTTCACAGTATTGAATATACATGTTAGCATCACGACCCAGCTCAATTGTTAAGCAAACTTCGAAGAAAAAGACAAATGATCTTATCAATGGTCCTTGGAGCACCAAAAGCTTGATGATTTGAATTCTTTGGCTGAAAATATAAAAAATTTGGTTAAAAATATTAAAATTCAACAAAAAATTAAAAATTTAATTGAAAATAGAAAAATAGCAATAAAAAAGATATATTAAATCAATTTTTATTAATAAAATATTTAAAAACAAAAAAAATTTAACGTAGAAAATGTAAAAAGACATTTGCCGCCAGCAGGGGTCGAACCTGCGACCTTGGGCTTATTAGACCCACGCTCTAACCGACTGAGCTATGGCGGCGCGCATTCAAAGTCTTTTTGGAATTCTCCAAATCACAAAGCGAAGATCGAAAAGGCAGTGGAAAGGTTAACTATTTGAATACATTTTTAAAAAACCTTTGAAAAAATTAAAAATTAACTTAAAATTGACTTTCTTTAGTTAAATTCATCAAAAAGTAGAGTAAGGTCAGATAGAGTAATTCAATGTTAAGTTAATGTCAATAAATCCTTCTATTGGTAAAACCTCCTTATCAAAAACAAGAATCAAAGCCACAAAATATAAAAGCTTCAATCAAAAACCGTTACCTAGTCACTCTTGGTTCAGGCATGCACGGTATCAAGCAACAGATTGGTGGTACCCGCATGTTGATCTTCTTCCCCCGTTCATTCAACCTCGCCTTGACTCCACACAGTTGACTGTCATTCGGATTCCGCCTTACCAAATTCATTACCAAAGTAATGTAAATATAAAACACGACCAAAAAGTAGAATAAGCCAAATGAAGTTGACAAAGCTGCAGCTCGAGGTGAGATCATGCCAACCATACAAAACATCATTGATACCTAAAAAAATTCGTAACTTTATTTTAGATTTATATTTTGCTACAAAACTTTTACAATGTAAACAATGTTCCATATTGTTGTACCTTGCAAAAGCTTATAAAGATTTAAGATCACATTTTAGAGTAACACATAAAAAAAAGTTAGCAATCAGCTAAGAGTGCGAACTATACCTAACCAAATGCTTTGTAACTGAACTTTCAACAAACATTTGACCATCATATTTTAAAATAATATGAAACAGTCAATTTTCAAATACTAAATTTTATAAAGGTTTGAAGTTTAAAACCAAAGATATAAAACAAAATGTTATCCATGTCTTACCGGAAACAGAGTGATCAAAAAGTAAAGTTTACTCCTTCGTTTCGACTTTGAAACATTTGCCTTAACCATCAGACATTCCACAAAAGCCATCCCTATCACTGTTAGCGTCAATATGAGCCCAAATATTAGCAATACTCCTTGATAGTAGTCCAGATCTAAAACAATAACCATAAAAACAAATAAGATAACCATAAAACCAAATAGAATAAAAATGAAAATACATAAATAAACTTGTAAAATACGAGAAATTCTATTATGAAACAAAAACTAGCCAATTATACGCTTGTGGAGTGTAAAAACGTCAAAAAACCAAAGACAACCATCTACCACCTAAAACAATATAAACTCACGCGTTAAGAAAGTAGCGGCAGTTGGACCACGAATCTCTCCATTATTACATTCCCTAATCTGTTCTGAATCCAATGGAAGCTTCTTCAATACCTCCAAAGTGCGGTTCCACACTTCGTGGGCTGTCCACATCAAGTCCACCTAAAACAATATAAATTACTCGATTAAATGAGTTCTTTTTACAAATAGAATAAAACTAAATGTTCCTAGCTAAGATGCTTAACAAATAATTAACATTTTAAACTTTAAAATTGCTGAAACGACATTAAAAGAGCAAAAAACAAAGGAGAACATCCAAAAACGTAAATAATTTCGTAAAAGTCCAGAAAAAGTGTCATCTCGACAACATTTGTGGGAGTTATAGAAAATATGTCATAAGATGTCATTTATTAACAAAATTTGTAATGTGGAAATAAAAACGTAACAAAATAACAAAAAATATTTTATAAAAACAACAATCAACATCAATAATATCAATTTTCTTATAAATAACATTGCTAAACAACACATACGGCCATATATAGGGTGTTATCCTAAGTAAAATCACAAACCAAGCCAAGTAAAATCACAAACCAAGCCTACTAAAATAAAAATGAACGTTTAGACGTTCGTATATCGCTTTATTTTGTCCATTTTTTCAAAAATGCTTTTGGAACATTTGAGTAAATAACGTCCACTCCCTTCAAAGTCACGCTTTATCAATAATATCCGCTAGTTTTTTCGTATTTTTTACTCTGATGATTGAATAAAAGTGATATATGGTGTAGCTAACAAGTTTCCACGTAATTTGTTATATTTTTTTATTTTTCTTTATTATAGTTTTATTATAGTACAATCCGGCTTGAATACAAATGTATTTTGTATTCATGTGTTGTGGAATATGAAAAGTAAAAACCTTGTAGAGAAATGTTTTAAAAATACTGTTCATTATAAAAATATAAACATATAAAACAAATAACGCTTTTTATTATGTGTTTGCAACACTTAAATACTAAAAGGATTACGAACTTTTGGTCACCAAATAAAAACGTTTTAAAATCTTTTCGAAATTTTATTGTTTTGTATTATATAAGTGGAGTGTTACAAAATACAATTGAATGGATATGATCTTGAAGTAGTAGTTTTTACTCGAGTTTTTGAAAAGTGCAAAAAATAACAAAAAGCAAAATCTTAATAAGATTAAATTTCAAAATCACTTATTATATTTATGAGTTAGATACAGTGCTACAGTGTCTTTTCTCACGAATTTAAATTCGGAAAAGAACCTTGGCCAAATTGGCTGATCAAAAACCCCGATAAGGGCGCCAAGATATCAGCCTACGCGGTCAGGCTTCTGCCCGAATTCCAACGAAAGATCGCAGCCTCTGGAAGAGGCTGGCGACAGTTGAAGGAAAGAAGGTGGGCCATCAGGCCGAATACAAAAGGCCTCGATGCCACCGTCTTGAGATCGACCGCTTGAGTAGACTTCTGCCCATTCTAATTTCCAGTGTTCAGCCGCACAGTCGGCTAAAGTTTTGTTTAGGTTTTTGAGGTTATTGGACTTTGCAAGGTCGCAGATTCTGCGGTTACTGTAGCCGAAACTCGTTCCGGCATCGATACAAATAATAGGATAAGGTTAGGTAAAAGGTTAAGGTCAAGGTACATATAAGTTACAGTACATACAGGACTAGTCCTGGAACCATTTCCTCAGTTAATTAAAGATACAATATGGTTAGGCCCAGTACTGCGACGGGTGCTGGGACGGGCAGGGTCACCAAACCCCCTCCAAGCCCTCCACTCAACTTATGCCTAAAAGTTTTGTAGTCCAAAGTATATATAGTCATGACTAAACATAACATCAAATAAAAATCAAAGCACAAGCTCAAAGAGTAAAGTACATACTATAGATATATTATACATGCCAACAACAAAACAGCTTGTTCTCAACACAATCCCAAAGCCAAGCCAAATTGATTAGCTATGCTACGATACCTTGCTCGCTTTGGCTTTATTTCGTATATATCGTAATACATATATACTAAATTTAAAGTTAGGAGTGAGAAACGAGCCGGGCCCATTTTTGAGGTTCCGATGTAAGCTCGGTGCCCAATACGATCAAAATACATGCCCAGCGCTTAGGCTTGTCCCTTTTCATTTTTCTTTAAGCAGGTGTGTACCGACCTGGTGAAAAAGTTCTAGACCCGGCCTGGCCTAACTCGTTTTAATGTTTTAAAAATAGTTTTAAAAAGCGTGCACCTACTTTTTATGCCCGGCCGTTTCCACTTTAGCTCAAGACTTAACCGAGCCTGCACAGCCCGTTCCTCACCCCATTTTAAAGTTCAAAACCAAAACCTTAACAACGCCTAAACGTTCCTATAATCTATGACAAAGTCGATCCTTCAGCGTGAAACATGTTCTTTTAAACTTTACATCGCTGTAACTTTTTACGACTTACCTGGTTAATTGAATTAAGATTTTAACTCATCAAAATATTCCTCGGGTTTCTGCAGACATTACATTGTAAATATTTTATAGTATTTTTGTTTAAGATACGATGAGTAATGCATGGTCAGTTTGTATTTCAAGGCAACAAAAGCTATGATAAAACGATGGTTTATATATGTTTTCTTTGTATTTTTGCGACAAAAGCGTTTTAGATAACAAAAATAGTATAAAATTTGAAATAATAAAAACAACACTCTTCAAAGTAAAGTAAAGTTAATATATATCCTATAAATTTAATAAACCAATTATAAAACATGAACTACAGAAATACAAGTAACGAATGCCAATCCTAGTTTACTTATTAAGCAGCCTTGGCGGTGGTGGCAGCGGCCGCAGCAGCACCAGTAGTCTTGGCAGCTGAAGTGGCACCTCTTCCAGCTGGAGCTTTGGTACCGGCTTTGGCTGGGGCTTTGTGAGCTGGAGCTTTGTGGGCTGGGGGATGGTGGGCTGGCTTCTTGTTACCTGGCTTCTTACCGTGGTGAACGGTTCCTGAAATGTTGTAGTACACTTTATATACAATTCTACGTTTTTACACTATTAACAAATATTTTCGTATTTCCTTTTTCTATAGCAATATATGTGGTATTAGTAACCTATATAACAAAGTACCTAAATTTATAAACTTACCAAGAGCAGTAACAGCCAAAAGAGCCAAAAGAAGGATGATGAAGAATCTCATATTGAAATGGACAAACAAGTTAATCAATGATATGTTTACTGTTGATTGTTTAGCCTTTTATAATAATTACTGTATAAATATTTATATACTAATTTGTATTTTACATATATTAACTTACACGTTTGGGTGATCTGTAATGCAACTAAATATTATAATCTGTTGTAGTCCTCGAAGATACTGAGTAGACAGGAAAACAAATAATATGTTTAATTCTTGAATATAGGTCACCATAATCAATATGTAAATCTGTTTATATAAATTTAGTATAAATAGTTAAAATACTAATCATAGAGGTATCGTTCATTAACTTGTTGATTGTCTATTCCAATATGAGATTCCTCATCATCCTTCTTTTGGCTCTATTGGCTGTCACTGCTCTTGGTAAGATGACAATTTTTAAATTTAAAAGCATTTTATAAAATAAAAGACGATATTAACTTTTCGTAAACTTTAGTATAGTATTTAAAGTTTTAATAGTGCTATATTACCTAATATAGGAGCCGCCCACCACGGTAAGAAGCCAGCCCACCATCCCCCAGCCCACAAAGGACCAGCTCATAAAGCGCCAGCTCACAAAGCCCCAGCCAAAGCCGGTACTAAAGCTCCAGCTGGAACTGGTGCCACTTCAGCTGCCAAGACTACTGATGCTGCTGCGGCCGTTACTACTGTCAAGGCTTCTTAATAAGTCAACTAGGCCAAACCTGCTTAGGATACCTAATTTCTCGAAAATTTAGCTCAATTATTATTAGTATTACTGTATTTTTTTGACAAAACAAAAATTTATTTCTGTATTTACAAATTTTCATTGAAAAAATTAATAACAATACTACGATAGATATTGTAAATAAATTGTTTTGACACAAATTGCAAAACCCATCTTTAGAGGAAGCCACGCCCTTTATGACTAAAAGTACACAATTAAGAAAACTTGTTTGTTGAGACGTGTATTATTAAAATAAAAGTGCAAAAAATGAAACAAATATGCACTTTTATCAGTAATTTGAAGCAACAATCACTGCCAAATATTATTCGAGGCTGCAAAAGAATACAGTATTAGTTTAGATTGATGTTTGTTTTAAGCATTTGAGATTTGCATCTTTAATCCGTTTTTGGTTACTGTAGAAGTTAAGTAATATACAATAAAATAAAAAATTAAGAAATACAACTCTACCCTTCATATGCTAACCTATCCTACTTTTCCCTACCATAAATTTTTAGGGTCCAATCCTACTTTTCAAGCCTGGCCGGCGGGCCCAGCCCAACTTTTAGATCCGTCCAGTTTCAAGTTTAATACAAGGGACAAGCCTATACAGTACGGTCCATATCCCTACGCTACTGTTACCTATCCGGGTCTACTTTTCAAAGCTGGCCCGCAAGTCGAGCCCAATTTTTAGGCCCGACCTGCCTAAACTTTAGCTCAAGACCTGCCCGGCCCGATCGTAAGGCCCTGCTGGCTGGGGCCGACCCTGCACAGTCCATTTATCATCCATACCCTACTCTACACTGCTTTACCTTACCCTCCCTTGTTTTATTCTATCCTTCCTCATGTTACCGTATACAGGATTTGAAAAGGAACAGTAATATATATTGCTTTCATAATGTGGAAAACATATCCAATTGTCATTTGCAATCGTATGTTATCAATAAAAAAGATTGGAAAAAAAAGATGGTATCTTGGTATTGCATCAACAATGTTTTCCCAGTTGATAACATAGACTAATGTTAAAAAAGCAAGTTTGCACTTTTAGGCGCAATATATATATAAGGTCAAATTAGCTTGTTGTTCATTAAATATCTAAAACTTTACTTCAATAATCTACTGTGCCACTCCAATAATCTACAGCTCTACTTCAATAATTTATCAAATCAAGTTTATATAAGCTATAATAACATTGCTTTTACAGTAAAATACAGTAGTCTAACTTACTGTGTGTTCTATTAGTTTTTACTATATAAATTCAGATTGTAAAGCCTTTGAACATGGTAATGAAACTTGACGATTGGTTGTCATTTCTATATAACATAGTGTTTGCTTACTACAGTATTAAAATTCTATATCATATTATACTACATACCTACGTATACTTCTTTGCTCCGCCGAAAAACCTTCAAAAATTGGCTAGAAGTAACTGGGCTGGTAAATTATATGTATTTCTGTTTTTAATACAAATTATGCTTTAACTAGGATAAAATTTTACATTGTATAAAAAGTATTGAGCTACTAAACTCCATATCAAAAAAAATTTTTGTTCGACGAAAAATTACAAAAATCTACATACAACATTATTATCGTCACAACACTATCAGTTGTTATTAATAAATATTATAAAAGGCTCCCACTTTCAGCCGTAACAGGAGCAACAGATGGAATTGGAAAAGGTTATGTTACCGAACTAGCTAAACGTGGTTTCAATGTGATTTTAATCTCTCGGAATCCACAGAAACTAGACGATGTAAAGTATTCAATGCGCCTCGACTTCCCCAATGTTCAATTTGAGACTATCAGCTTTGACTTCTCTACAACATCAGTTGATGAATATAAAAGAGTTTTTGGAGACAAACTTCACAAAATTGGATTATTGGGTATAAATTTAGTTTAAAATTTGATAAGCTATACAATATTAAAAAAATATCCAAACAAGAATAACTTCTGTGAAGTACAGCCGTCGTATGTTACATATGACGAGATTCTACCCTAATAACTCACTATAAACTCCTTTTCATAGCACATTATTATGAAATCAATTGCAGTAAACAACGTAGGATGTTCATACACAGTACCAGACAAGTTTCATCTAATTTCGGGCACAGAAGTCAAAAACATGGTCAATATCAACATGTTCAGCACCATGATAATGTGCAAATTGGTACTAAAACAAATGGAAGAAAGAGGAAGTGGGATTATTGTAAACGTTGGATCCGCTTCTGAATCCCTCAACTTTGCCTACTACTCCGCTTACTGTGGCATCAAGGTCAGGATTTTAAGATTTATAGTGATATAGCTAGAATAACATACGTATGGTTTATACCTAAAAAATTTAAAAAAAAATTAACTCACTTTTAAATTCCAAATTCATCTTATAAACTCCAAATTCAATCTATCACGTTTCAGAGAGGACTCCGCCGCTTTTCCGACTCCCTCCGTGTAGAATACCCTATGTTAACCATACAATACACCATGCCTGGTTGGGTGGCTACCAACCTCAGCAAAACCAATGCTTTGTCGGTTACTGTGCGAACAGCTGAAGAATACTCAGAAGCTGCTGTAAAAACAATTGGCTATTGCCACACGACAAGGGGATTCTGGAGCCATCAACTACAGTTTGACATCCTGGAATCTCTACCTTGTTTTATCACTGATCCGTTGTTCGAGTTGATTTTACGCATGAAAAAGTATGAAAACCTGGAATATATCACAAAAACTGATGGCAATAACACCTATCATAAAGTTAAGTAATAATACATTTATCTGATTATCTTATCCTTCCAGTTATGACTGAATTACTTCGGCCTACATTTTTCGTAAATTTTTAATGTTGTCCTTATATTATGATTCAAATTTAATGTTTCACTTCAACTAGACCATGTAAACCACACCATTTTCTTTCTAAACATACCATAAATTGCCAAATGTCCCACCAAAATACCTTATATTTGTCCAGTTTTCTAAATACCTACCTGATCAAGTGTAATATAATAAACATATCGTATTTTACATTTTGGATACTCTGTAAATGATTAAACAGGCTAAACCAAGCATTGTTTTCAGTTTTTTAAAAATATGCCATGGATTTCAAAAAAGCCGTCATCAACGATGGATTTTATCGACTTGTCAAGCAGAATTTTGTTGGGGACAAGAATCTGTTTATGAGTTCTGATTGAAAACTATATTGACTTCTTTGGACTATACATCAAGAAGCTTATCTTTATCCTTGTTTCGGTTTTATTTAGGTATTTTGGTTTGTTTTTACTTATGTTGATGAACGCTTCAGTTTTAGGCAGCGGCTTGATTGGTTCTGAAACCTGTAGCTCTTCGTATTTGCTAAAGTTGACGCTTATTTGTATAAAATATTATTGCTTATGGTTTTGCCCTTAATTTTCTGCAAAGTTTGGCTAGCTTTGTCTTCAAATATCCATATAATGGATTATATTGTTTTAGATATGCGTCGGCGCAATGATGTCCGGTTTCGTCGGGTTAGGAACCGAGCATTGGAAATGCAGGTGAGAAGACAATTTGAAGCTATGGGTGTAGCAAGGCGTGTCCAAGAAGCAGCAGACTTGGCTAATTTGGATGAAAATCAATCACGTTGGAGATCCGCGCACAGGGTATGTTAACATTAATTAGTTTTGTGTTTTTTAGTTAATAATCTATACGTTTGTAATCTTTTTGAAGCTGAGTTTATGAAGAAGGTAAAAAATTGTTTTTAAACTTTTCTACAGTAGTTTTGATAAGAGTTTTGACGGAAAACCTTATGGTAGTTGTTAACTCTCACTCAGCGAGATCTTATTCGATGTAACTTTTTAAATAAGATGGCTAAAGACTTGAAACTTTGTGTTGTTTTAGACAACATAATATGCAAACTACTTTAGTAAGCTTAAATTTTTAGCTATGTTTTATAAAATGTTATCGCGAAAAACATTATGATAACATACCCTTCAAGTAGTTTAAATTTTTGAGTCTGTTGATATTTCTTTAGAATATTTTTGATAATTTAAACTAAAATTATATGGATTATTATACTTATTTAAAGAAAACTATGTTTTCAGCTACCTTTGCGCTTATTACGCTACGCAGCCAACCAAATTACGCATATCAGACGTTTGATTAGTCGAAAACAGGTATCGTTGCCCGAGTCAAGATCTCTGTCTGATGCATCGGCTACTGATAGCGAAGTATCTTATGATTCGAGGCAGAGTGGCCATGAGCCATGGCCCATGTCGTCGATCATAGGAGAGCATATGACAAAGCGCGTGAGGCATGTTATAGAGCAACCGCCATTGGATGACAAAACGGTTGATGAACATTCTTGGAATCCGGAAGATTGTTCTGGCAATTTGTTTTTTGAGGTAATGGTTATGTTTTAACTAGGCTTGTAGCTAGTTTAAGGTTGGTTAAAAGGTTTTTTAATGTTATTTATGATGGCTAAAATACAGTTTTAATTTTTTTTGTTTTGAAGGTAATAGTGTATATCTATACTAAAAAAACTTGATTTTATGTTTCAAAATGAAGGTAAATTAATTTTAATAAAAACAAGTTCAAAAAGTTAATTTAGAAGGCTTGTATATTAATTTAAATGCTTCAGAACGACACCCGCACGGTGCATCGTCATCCAGTAGCTCAATCTACGGATGCGATTCGAGGAAAGCAAGGATATTCTAGAGGAACACATATCTGGAGCATACACTGGCCCAAGAAACAACGTGGTACACATGCTGTGATTGGCGTTTGTACTAAAGAACAACCTTTGCAAGCGAACGGCTACTGTAACTTGATTGGAGGGTCGGAGCACAGTTTTGGATACGATATAGGTAAGGGCGTTGTATAATTTGACAAGCATATTTCTTTATGAAGCATAGAAATGAGTTTATTTTGTTTTAGTAGCTTATTGTTTTTAGAAAATAAAATATTTTGAAATTCAAAATTTTAAAATATAAGTTACAGTATAAAAAATTAAAATATTTTCAGTACGACAAAAGTGTGTGCACGACGAGAAAAACTTCCCTCCATGGGACTATCCGCAGGCAAAAGCAAGATTTGACCATATCTACCCAGAGACATTGTATTGTATTCTGGACATGGAAGATGGTTCTCTGGCTTTCGCTTCAGATCGTCATTACTTTGGAATTGCTTTTAAGAATCTAAAAGGATTGACGCTGTTCCCTGCTGTCTCTGCAGTATGGGGCTTTTGCCAGGTCAGCATCGCTTATATGGGGTCTGTTCGTAAGTTTCTTATATGAGGTCTGTTTGTAGGTTTTAGAGGTTAAAATTAACATTTTTCTCCAATTTTTGCTATTTAAATATGTTTTTTGTTGTTTCTTAAATTCTTTTAGTGCTATAGAGGACAGTTGTTATAGTCTATAGCATTATCAACCTTTTAAAATGGTAAAATACGATGATAAGGTGTGCAGTGTAAAAAAGAATTAACTATACTCAATAAGATTATTTTAACTATACTCAATAAGATTATTTTAAGACAAGCCTCACACCCTTCAAGAGCTGTGTTGCCACAAGATCAGGTCCCGTTTGGAAGATCCATGCGCATTCGTTCAAAGCGTCTCTACCCTCGGCTTATCACCAGCGGTCGAAAGGCTTTTGAGAGGAACATTCGCACTAAACACGGCATTCTTAAATCTCCGGAATCGAACCTTGAGGAAACGAAACCGTATGGAAGCCCAAAGACTCGGGCTGATCGTGATGCCACCTTCTCAAATCTTACTAGAGCCTTCTGAACAAGACGATCAGACGGACTCCGAACCCGACGAAGTACAGAATCCCGAGCACCAACAAAAAGATTCGGAACACAACGAAGAACGACGCCACTACAATGAAGAACGACACTATGACGCCCAAAACCCGTACTCATTTTAAATATTTTGTATTTTTAAAATTCTAATTTTTAGCGATTTTCTAACACTTGTTACATGTGAATATAGGAGGATTATATTTTATAGTTTTATACCGTTGAGTAATCTATTTTCAGTCTTGTTCGAGACATTGTAACATAATAAATGAATTTTACTTTTTGCAAGGTTTTTTGGTTAAAGTGTGGTATTACTGTGGCCATATCTGGACGATATTTTAGGAATGTGAACTATACGAACCCAAAGAAGCTCTTTTTTTGCCCCAAATTAATTTTTTTTTCATCAAAGGTTAAAGTTAAAACATAACAAAAAATACATATCAAGTAATTGCAATAAAATTTACATTTATAAAATAATCCTAAACTTCAGAATCCTTGTAAATGTGCAACTTCTGACAAAATCCCATACTATTCGATAGTGAATAAGCGAAGCGCCACAAGTGACACTTCGTTTATTTCAAAATCGCGCCAAAAATATTTTTCGTTCGCTACATTTTTTTGTAAGACAATATTTTGTATGTTATTGACTAACTGTACACTAAAATGCCACCAAAACGAGGACCAAAAGCTCAAAAGCTTCACGAACCACTTCCACCAAAAACAGAGATCAAGACGAAGCTGTTTCCGCCGCTTGTGATAACTAAAGAGATCGGCCAAGGTGGATTTGGACGGATATATGCTGGTAAATGCAAGGTAATAGTCTTGTTTGGGTGTTTTATTAGTTTGTAAAATGTATTTTATATATTTAGTTATGATTTTATTGCTTTTAAAGGTAAATTTTATGTTAATATTAGGTGTTTTACTATGTGATAAGGAAATGTTGTCTTGCAGGATACGAAGGAAGACGTGGCGATAAAAGTTGAAGAGAATGCTGGAGGTGGTTTATATGTGGAATTCCAGATATTCAGAAACTTTTTGAGTGAGAAACAGCTAAATGAATATAAAAAAGCTAAAAGTAAGTGCTTTTGTTGGTTATTTTGTTTTTAGGTATTACTTCTTGGTAAAGCAGGATGTACCTTATTTTATGGCTTAAAATAACGTTGCTTAAACGTAAATGGTATATTTCATAATTCTAAAACTCAAAAATCTTACGTAAAGCATCAAAATTGGGATGTAACTACTTCAAAATTTGTTTTTGAGTCGAAATTTGGTTTTTATTTTATTAGATCCACACGTATGATTCATAACTTTGGTATAGATCAGAAGGGTTTAACTGTTTTTTTCTAGAGTTATCGTTCCTTGGTTTACCTCACTTCATATCATGGGGAGTATTTACTCCAAAGAATGTTCAACTGCGATATGTGGCTATGCCACTGTATACCGGGTCTTTGCAAGAGTTTATCAATAAACAGAGCGGCGAAGTATTGTCTTTAGAAGACTGTAAAGAAATCATTCCAACTGTTTGTGATGCATTCGAGTATTTACATTCCAAGGTGAGTTTAGAATGTTTTAGAATACTGTTTTAGTAGTCTTCCATTCTTAATATTAGCATTTAAAGGTTAAAAAACAGTTTTTTTTGTTTAACATTTAATGAATTTCTTTAGGATATTGTTCATGCTGATCTCAAAGCCGAAAACTTGATGTTTTCCAAGTCTTACGGGCATAAATTGAACCGACTTACATTAATTGACTTTGGAATGTGTGGTAGAAGAACACATGAGATTGTAGAGCAACCAGACAAAGGAAAAGCTCACAATGGCACAGCTTTATATACGTCTACCGATGCTCACAGAGGTTGTGCGCCTTCTTATCGTGCTGACTATGAGATTCTGGGGCATAATCTGGTGGCATGGATGGCTGGGGTAGAAAACTTGCCTTGGGAGGTATGCTTTATTTTTTTTGTATAGAACATTTGTATTTTATATTTTTGGCTTTGTGTTTTGAATGCTAGTATGTGAACAATAAGAACCTATGTGTGGTTTATTATGATTTTAAATTTGTCATGGATAATATAAAGTATTTTGTGATTTTAGAAGTTTATTACAAAACTGGACCAAGTTCATTCAGCCAAGAGCAAGCTGATGGGAAGCAAAAGTGACATTGAGAAGCTAGTGTTAGATAAAGTAGCAGCTTCTTTGATCTATGATTTATATCAGCTGACGAAGAAAACAGGCTACAAGAGCTATGTTGATGTGGCAAAGGTTAAGAAGGTATGGCCTTTTGTTATTTTTGTGAATGAAGTATTATTAGGTTATTTTCGAGTTTTTCAGAGGTCAGTTTAATGAAAATTTAATGTTTTTTAGCTGGCAGCTCAAGCCAAGTCTACTACAACATCCAGAAAGCCAGAATCTTCGCGAACCAGGAAGCGATCAGCCGAACTTGAAGAACAAACGGCAACAGAATCCTCACCTACTATCATTCCGAGCTCTCCACCAACCTACAGGCCAAAAAAGTCAAAAAAGGCGGTGTCAGAAGAACCCACCGTAAGCACAGAAGCGAAACGAAGGGAACAAGCCGACGACAGAGCCGCCAGAGCACGGAAACGGAATCTTCTTCCCGAGATCATCGTAGAGAAAGACGAAGGAGGAGGAGGAGAAGAAGGCGTAGAAGAAGTAGAGAACAGCGAAGTAGCTTCACCAGTAGCGGCGAAGCTTAAGAAACACAAGGCTGTCATTAAGACTAAGGTTAGGGCTATGTCCGGTAAGGAACAGATGATTTTTTTTGTATTTTAGGTATTAAATTTTATTTTTTCGTTTGTTTTTAACAATATTTTTTAAAAAAGTGGCAGTTTGCGAAGATTTTTGGCAAGTAAATGAAGATTTATGAAGTTTTTGGTTTGAAGCCGTTAAAGGTTGATTTTATGTTACTAATGGTATGGTAAGGTATAAGGGAGTATTGCTATTAGTATCATAAGTTACTAAAAGTCAAGCGTGTTTTAAAACAATAGACTTTCAAAAAACTGCTAAAACACTGTTTTTTAGCCGACCAAACCATCAGTCCGGCCTCATTTGAAAAGCTGGCTAAGCAATTCCCAGGGATCCGAAGCTTTGGCAAGGTGACGAGAGCTATGGCCGAGAAATACGCAAAATGATTGTCGATGTGAATGTGTACTGTATTTTTGCATAAATATTGATTCTTGTATCGTTGTTGTGACTTTTTTGAAATGAACAAGGTTAAAGTCTGTTCTTATTGTTGTGTTTTTGTTGGTTTTGGGCTTTTTAGATGAGTTTTAGTCGATTCGGGCTGTTTTTGAGACGGTTTGGACCGTTTTGAGAGAATTTCTTAGTATGATTTGTAATTTTATTTGCTGCGTGATAAATCAGAATATTTTAAACTTAAATTTAAGTAAAAGGCTTGAAGTATGGCAAGAGAAAGTAAAAAAAATATATTGTGAATGATATATATTTTTCACTGAATGTTCACTGATCTTTTCATTATTTTTGTTTGGTAAAGGCTCGTTCTTAATTTTGAAGGTGTTTGAGAAGGTTAATATAGTAATTTTTGGATGTAGTATGGTTTTTTGATTTGTTTTATCTTGTTTTTATTTATTTTACTTCATTGGCATTATATTTTTGCCTATTTTTGCTTTTTTCATTGGCCTAATGCATTGGTTTTCCAGCTTGTTTTAGCTATTTAAACTTTTTTTCAATTTTTTCTACTGTTATAGGCATGATTATTCGAATACCTTCAACAAGATGTAGTGTTTTGTATAACTCAATGTTAGCGAAGCGATTGTTTAGTGATAAAGCAGTAGCTAGAGGAGATTATGGCCGACTAGAAGATAAAGATTTGAATGTTTTTGAAAAGATTTGCGGGTCAAACAATGTTCTAAAGGACGATCTGGACCCATACAATGTTGATTTTATGAAATGGTACAAAGGTAAGCGAGGAGTTGAAAGAAAAACATTACCTTTCGCGGTTTGATCGCTGTTTTCTAGGACAACATGTTTCAAGCTTGTTTTTCATAGCTGTTTTATAGTGTAATATATCAAAAACTTGGTCAATATTTATCAAAAACCTTGTGTTTTACTTGATTTTTCAAGCTCAAGGTATCGAATCTTCAAAAAACGATTGATCCAATACAAATCAGTTGATATAAACTATAGCTTTAGACTCTTTCAGGTAAATCCCAATGTGTTTTAACCCCAGAATCAGCGGAACAAATCTCACAATTGCTGAAACATTGTTATGAACGAAGGTTGGCTGTCTGTCCTCAAGCTGGAAACACTGGTTTGGTTGGCGGAAGTGTGCCAGTTCATGATGAAGTCGTCATTTCTATCAAAAAACTTCGAAATTACTACAAATTAGATCCGAATTCAGGTAGGTTTTTGTAAAATACGAGGGAAATAGGGGTGTAGTTGTAAAATACGATCGTTGTGGCTTTCTAGTTTTAAATTATATTGTTTAGGTTGTAATAAGGGAGAAATTTGAATTTAATTTTAGGTATATTAGAGTGTGATGCCGGCTTTGTTCTGCAAGAATTGGACGAAAAACTGGCCAAAGACGGGTTTATGATGCCAATTGATTTGGGAGCGAAGGGAAGTTGCCTGATTGGAGGTAATATTGCCACGAATGCTGGTGGAGTACGCCTGGTGAGGTATGGAAGTCTCAATGCTAATGTGCTTTCACTTCAAGTTGTAAGTTTACTTTATGTCTGGTCTGCCTTGTACTAGCTTTCTTTCCCCTCTCTCGTTTCTCTAACCTGCTTTTCCATGCCCTGGTTTATCTTGCTCGGTTCTACCCTGCTCTGATCTGCCTTGCCCTGACCTGCCTTGTCCTGCCATGCCCTGCCTTGTCTTGCTTTGCCCTGCCCTGCCCTGCCCTGCCCTGCCCTGCCCTGCCCTGCCCTGCCCTGCCCTGCCCTGCCCTGCCCTGCCCTGCCCTGCCCTGCTCTGCCCTGCCCTGCTCTGCTCTGCTCTTCTCTGCTCTGTCTTGCCCTGCCCTGTTCTCTACTACCTTACACTACCTTATCTTATCCTATTATACCCTACCCTACTCCTACCTACCTTCTCTTACCAACCTTACTCTACCTTATCCTACTTTGTCTTACCTACCTATATTTTCTATTCTAATAGAACGTTTTATTTTTACAGGTTCTACCAGACGCCCAAGGCACGATCCTTAACCTAGGCGCACCACTAAGAAAAGACAATGCCGATCTAAAGCTACAACAACTTTTCATAGGCTCGGAAGGACAACTGGGCTTAATAACTAAATGTGCCATTTTAGTACCACCTAAGCCCAAAAGTGTACAACTCGCATTCTTAGGCACAAAATCTTTTGCCGATTGCTGTGCCGTGCTCAGGGCGTGTAAAAAGATGTTGGGGGAGATTCTGTCAAGTTTTGAGTTGATGGATTCTGAATCCATGAGGTGTGTGGAGGAGAATGTGCTACTGGAATCTGTGTTGACATCAAAACCGGAGTTTAACTTGCTTATTGAGGTTGCTGGTAAGAAGTGTTTTGGCAAACTGTTGTCCGAATATGAATGAGCCAAACGTTTCAAAGATGGGCGTTTTGAATGGCTTATTTATATTCGGACAACTTGACAGTTTATTAGTTTTGTCTGTACTACAGTATACTGCCTTTGAGTACGAAAAGTTAAAATATTATGTGATATTGTTGTAGGTATTATAGCCAACTAAAAAGTTTAGTATAATATTATAGTAAAATATTGTAGGATCAAGCCCAGAGCACGATGCAGAAAAGATGGAGAACTTCCTAACCTACTGCATGGACGAAGGCCTAGCCACAGACGGAGTTATGGCTCAAACTGGCAAAGAATCCGAACTTTTTTGGAAAATCCGAGAAAATGCGTCATTGGCTCTGAACTTTGACGGTTATGTGTACAAACATGACGTTTCTTTACCATTGGATCACTTTTACGAATTGAGCGAAGTGATAAGAGATAGATTAAAGGGCACAAAAGCTAAAAGGATTGTCACATTTGGGCATTTGGGCGATGGAAATTCACATTTGAACATCACGGCCAAGGACTTTAATCAGGAGGTTTATGATAAGTGAGTTATAGGAGCTTTGCTTTATTTTTATTTTACGAGGGTAGCTGGCTCTGATATATTCTGTTCCTACCTTTACATCTATCATACTTTGGCTTTTCTTGCCGTACTTTATATTACCTTGAACTACCGTATATTAATCTAATCTACTGTAGTCTATTCTACCCTATCCTACTCTGATTTACCTTAATTATCTCATGTTACTCTATTCTACTTTACTTTATCTACCTCTTACTCTGTATACAGTACTCTCTCTATGAGATGTCTTGCTTACAATATATTATTCTATCATTATCTTACATTATTTTGGCTTTCTGTTACAATCATCGTATTTTATCTTTTCTTACTAAATGATTTTTAGTTTTCTTGCTCTGCTCTACCTTAAGTTACTTTACTATAACTCATTTTACACTACTCTACCCTAATTTATTTCTTCCTCTTCTCCTATTACTCTATCTAAACTACCCTTCTCTACCTTACTTTTCTGTACCTTACTTTGCCCTGCTCTACTCTAATTTACTTTACTCTATCTTATCCTACTTTAACCTAGCTTTCCTTATTACCCTTACTTTGTCTACATTATTTTATGATATGTCCAACTTATAGTATGTTATCTCATCATTATTTTATAGTATTCTATACTGCTATCTTAAAAGTCGTATTTTACCTTGCCTTATATTATATACTTTAAATTGTGATGTTTTACATTTGTATATTTATATATCTCTTTTATAATAATTTCAGATTATATCCCTTCATTTACGACTGGACAGCCGCTCATAATGGCTCGATTTCGGCCGAACATGGCATCGGTCGTCTGAAACGAATATACCATCATAATCTGGTCAACGAGAAGAAGCAAAACATAAATTCCGAGATTAAGCGAGTCTTCGACCCTCGGGGAATTCTCTCACCCTACAAGATGATCGACTAACATGATTTTGTGATATTGTAATGTACGTTCGTTAAATAGTATTTTGATACGGTAGCTATAAAGTTTTGGTGCAGTAGAGAAAGTAAAGTTATTTTGAAGGCAGTTTTTGTGTGGTAGGGTTGGTAAAATACGATAATTTGGGTTTTAGGGCTTCTTCCTTTCAGTTATAGTAATTACAGTACCCAGTTACGGTAACCTTGTAATATCTCAAGTTACAGTATCCAAATAGGATATTAGTTTTATTATCAACTGTGATATAAAATATATATTGTACTTTGGAGATTAAAACAAAGAGATATCCGGGTTTCGAATGGTTTTCCACGAGACTATTTACAATCGTATACAACAACATACCGGTCGATTTGAGTTAAAAATTTTTTTTTGAAATTAAAATTGTTTTTTTGAATTTCAAAACAAAAAAAATTTTTTTTAACTTAAATCGACCGGTAAAAAACTGTTTCAAAAGTTTTGGTTTTTTGCATCGTGCATAAGTTTAAAATTTTAAAATTCAAGAAAAGTGCAAAATTTTAAAAACTTGAAACAACATTAAATTTGGAATGACGTTACAATATATCAATAACAAATACAATGTAATTTATATTACATTACAGTAAATAGAAAATAACTGTACATTACTGCCATAGTAAATGTATCATCGTTTTAAATTACTGTCAGAGTAAATGCATAATGGCTTTACATTACTATTACAGTAAATGTACATCATTTCACATTACATTACTATTAGAATAGCAATTTACATTACTACACATCCCTTCTTTTTCTTGTGACTTCCACTAGAGCCAGACGTATTGGCCGAATCCGAAATATACTCGAGCCCCATCTGACGTTCGGCTATTTGGAACTGTCTGAAAATAAAGTAATCAGTCAGAAAGTTCAAAATATAAAGTTTTGGGGCTTTTGTAAAATACGTAGTGTTGTAATGTTTTATTTTGAAAAACGTTGTCCTATTGAATTCTGAGTAGACCTATAAAGAGCCCGGACACAATTTTTCGGCACTTCCTTTTCTAACACATTAGAAACGGGCCGGGCTGGCCTTGAGCAAAATTTCGATCGGGTCTACCTTTTTCAAATTATTAGATGCCGATATAAAGAACCCGCCATGCTTTGCTTGTAATTTTATGTAAAAAATGGCGGGTTCTTTATGTCGGCACCTAGTAGCTTCGGCCTGGCTCCTTATATAACTGTATTAAAATCATGACTAGGACAACTTGTATTTATAAGACTTGAATGGCAGGCCGGACCAAAAACAGGAAAACAAATAAGAAAAAGCCGGGCCAAAGCATGTGATCCCGAGAGCCTGGGCCCAAACCAAGGCTTCAGAGGCCCAGCGCAGGTCCCGCAACGAAGCATTTGTCTTGCGAACCATGTAAAAAGAGTCTGGTTTAAAAGGTGTTTACTTATGAACTATTTTAGAAGCGTAAGCATTAAAACTGTTAAATTATTGGTTATTTATGACACAGAAGCAGCACGATACAAGTAGTCCCTTTTATTAAAATTTTTAACGAAAAATTTAAACTGTAAGCAAGCCACTACCGTATTTTACAAAAAAAGCTCTACAACATACCGTATTAACCTGACCAGATCATAAAATATCTGATCAACGTTTTGTCGGAATTTGGCTGAACATTCGGCGTAGGGCAGCTGGACGGACTGGGCCCAGCATTCGGCTTCTTCTCTCGATACCTGAAGATATTGAAATTTGGTTTTTTAAACGTTGGTTTGACTACTGTAAACTAGGTATAATATTAGGTCCGACATAAAGAACCCGCCATACTTTTCATGTAATATTCTGTACAAAATGGCGGGTTTTTTTATGTCGGTACCTAATAGTAACAAACGATCTTTAAGGAATGAAGTAGGTTTTTGTTGCAGCAGGAGCAACTATAAAACCTACAAGAATTTAGCCAACTCACCTGCCGCTGAGCATTCAAATCGCATTTGTTGCCAACAACAATCATGGGGAAGAAGTCGCGATCCTTCACTCGGTCAATATAGTGGTATAACCTCTTTAGATACTCGAAACTCTCTCTGTTTGTTAACGAAAACACGAGTAGAAAGCCATCGCCACTTCTCACATTATGTTCTCTCATCGCTGCGAACTCATCTTGACCTGCCGTGTCTAACACCTCCAGCTTCCACATATTCTCGTCTACATAACACTGTTTGGCGTAGGAGTCGGCGATGGTTGGGTCGTAGTCGTGAATGAAATATTGCTGAAATTTTAAAAAATTACATTTTAGATAGACAATATCTTACAATAGCTGTAGATCTTATTTTACCCTACCCTACCCTACCCTACCTTACCCTATTCAATCCTGCCCATCTTATTAGACCTCGTCCTACCGTATGCTGAAAATATATCCAACCGTATTTTACCGTATCGTACCCTTACTCTGGCTTACCTTAACTTGAATTGTCTTCACCTGGTTCTACCCTGTCCTAATTTTACCTTGGAATGCCGTAACCTATTATTCTTACTGTAACCCTCACCATAACTTTAAATAATCTTAAATTACTTTGTCTTAAGGATATTACTATCATATAATATAATAATGTAATAACATAGGTACCCACCTGTACAAACTGAATAGTAATAGCACTCTTCCCAACCCCACCCAGACCCAACAGTACTATCCTTAGTGGGTACTTTTGAGGTGGAAGTTGGCTAGCCGAATGTAAATTCACTCTAGACGCTCCTTTTGTCTCTCTTAGTGGTGCTGGTGGTGGTACTGGTCGAATTTGAGTTGGTGCTAACACTCCGCCAGTCGTGGTTAATACTTGTGGAGCCATGGCCGGCGGAGCCATGTCGTAGATACCCCCGCCGGCGGTGGGATGCGCCAATCGGGCGCCGTTCGAAACTCGCGGCGTGGCTGGACGGAGGGGTAAAATTTGTTGAGTAAGGGGTGTGGACGGCACTCAAAATTGAAAAATAGTTAAATGGGGGTAGAGGTGATGATAATCGATGTTATGTTAAGGTAGGTATTAAAGGCGAAAAATATTGTAAAATACGCGAAGTACTGCTTTTCAAAAAAAATTTTTTAAAGATGAGACCCCCCCCGGTAAATTAAAAAAAAATTTTTTTTAAAGTTTTTGCTCCCTCCCCCCTCCACTCTAAAATGACCTTATTAATAATTAACAAGCCATATAAAAGAAGATAACACCAAAAACAACTAAAAAATCGTCCCCATCTGGCACCATGACTTATGAAGAATGCCAAGATATCTTGAGCAAACATATCAATTTCGCGCCAATTGTTCGACCGGTATTAACAATGTTAACCTTGTGCAAATAATATCAAATATCAAACAACAGTTTGGTTTTTTATTTTTTATGAAATGGTGTAAGGTGGTACTGGACAATACTACATAGTATGAGGTAGTACTGGTTAGATGTAATGCGGTAAAAATAGTTTTGGTAAAGATTTATAGAAGTTAACAGAGCAGTTTTACTATGACTTTCCCTACTGTGCAATACCCTATCTGAATCTACCTGATTCTAATCTACCGTGCTCTACCTTACCCTACAGAACTCTGTTCTTACCTACTGTGCCTTGCCTTGCCATGCCTTGCCTTGCCCAGTCAAGTTATGCCAAATCTTGCCGAACCATGCCAAGACTTACGAAGTACCGCCTAGTCGTGGCTTGTGCTTTCTTGACTTGAATTCCCTTCACTAAACCTTCTGTCCGCGCCTTGCTTTGCCTTGTCATAATCTACTACGTCCTACTCCACATTGTTCTACCCTACCTTGCCCTACATAGTCCTAACCTGCGTCGTCTTGCCCTGCCTTTCTCTGCTTTGCTCTTCCTTGCTTTGCTCTTTCTTGTCATACTCTACATTATCCTACGTTATCTAAAATTGCCTTATCCTACTGTAACTTTTGCAAAAAAAATTTTGTTTTTTAGAAACTTAAATATGATAAATATTGTAAAATACGGTATGCAGCATTCTTTAAACTAAAAATTTCAACTTTATAAAACTCTGTCCGACAAACCCGTACCAAGAACCACGAGAAATCCATTTACCACAACATAAACACATCACCATAACTCTTTGGCCTTTTAAGTAACCAAAAAAGTTTTTCCAAAATACTCTTCCGGTTAGGGGAAGGAACGTTGCGGATGAATATGAAAATATTCCGATTCCTGAGTTCCCAACCAACTCAAGAAAACGCCCTTAGGGGAATTTGTAAAAAGACGGAAAGAAGAATGCCTGAGGCAATTATTTTGTGAACATGAGCGAAAACAATGTCCATAATCAAATCTTGTCATTGTTTTTTGGTATTTAAATCAGCTTTGACCAAAAATGAGACTAGAATTACTGTAATTAGGAGAATGTGATTACTGTAATTTGGAAAATGGGTTTTGAAAATTAAAATTTTAAAATTTGCGGGTCTTGGTGAAGAAAAATAAGAAATTTGTTGCGTAAGGTACGGTAAGTTAGGGTAGAGTTAGGCAAGGTAGGGTTAGAAATATGGAATGTGTTCGGTCGGGTCGTGTTTGAGCAAAATTTAGGTCAAGCCGGGCCTGGAAATCCCAAAAAAGCCCGGCCCGGACCTTTTGCCATATCTAGGTAAGATAGGGTAAGGTAGGATATGGTAGGGTAGGGTAGGGTAGGGTAGGGTAGGGTAGGGTAGGGTAGGGTATGGTAGGGTAGGGTAGGGTAGGGTAGAGAACGCTAAAAAATTTTTTTTTGTAAATTAGTCCTATCTTGGCCCTACCTTAGCTCCACCTCAACCATACATTCTCCCTACTCTAGCCCCGCGGGGCCCGTCCTACCCCTAACATTCCACAAAAACCAAAAACTGATGACATAGTTAGTCATACCTATCATATCGCAACAAATCACCGTATAAAGAACAAAACCGAGTCCCAACGCCCTTAGGAGAATATGAAAACTTGTACGTTTTTTGCGAATTCCAAAGAATGGAATTGTTTGCACTTTGAGAATCATGATTCGCGGAGAGTCTTGAGGCGTTCTGAATATATCCCCACCAATCTTTTCTCTCCTTTTTCGCAATTTTTGTTTGTTTGAACAAGAATTGATGGAATTGTAAATCGGAGAAAGTTTTTGGACCGGTTGAGGGGGGAGGAGATGGCTATTATAATTTTATAGTACGTAAAGGAAGTATAGCCAAATTAGAGCTGAATTTAAGATAGATGGACTAAGGATAAAGCTTACATACGGCTAAGACTAAGGTAAGGCAAAAACGAAGACTAGTGCTCGGGTTAGGGCAAGAATAGGGAAAAGATAGGCCAAATCTAGAGCAAGGCTACGGCAAGGCTAGGGCAAGGCTAGGACAAAGCTATGGCTAAACTAAGGTAAGGCTAAGGAAAGGCTAGGGCAAAGCTAGGGCAAGGCTCAGGCAAGGCTAGAGCAAAGTTAAGGCAAGGTTAGGGCAAGGTTAAAGAAGGCTAAGGCAACGCTAGACCAAAGCTAGTACAACGCTATGGCTAGACTAAAGTAAGGCTAAAAAAAGGCTAGGGCAAGGCTAAGGAAAGGTTAGGGCAAGGTTAGAGAAGGCTAAGGCAAGGCTAGGGCAAATCTAGAGCAAGATTAGGGCAAGACTAAGGCAAAGCAAGGCTAGGACAAGGCTTGAGGAAGGCTTGGGAAAGACTAGGACAAGACTACGGCAATCGCTATGCCTAGGACGAAGGCCAGAGCTAGGACTCTAGGCTACGTCTTTATTTTTGGGCTCTGAGCTAGGGGTAAGTTTAGAGCTAGAGATAAGGTTAAGGATAGGGCTAGTGAAGGGTAGGCTAAAACATAAAACACCTAAAAAGGCTTTTAAAAATAATACGCTCTCGAGATAATGTAAAAACCTACAAAAACAAGCAAGAACAAAAGTGAAAACGAATGTTATGCATGTTCCGAATGTTTATCTTTCTGTTTTAATTAAGTTTTCAATGAAGGAAACGTTGCAAAATCAAACATTTCAGAGAAAACATAGAAAAAAGAGGACAAAGGGTATAGTACAACAACATTTTTTGAATTTTTCTAACAATTGTAATAAGGCAAGTACCAGGGCCGGGCGCGAGGGGGGGGACGGGGGGGGGGAGGGGTACCCTTCCCCCCCCAGAAAAAAATTTTTGAAAAAAGTTGAACGTGGTCCCCCTGTGGATTTTTTGGACCTGCCCCCAGACCAAAAGTCCCCGCCCGGCCCTGGCAATTACCTAACCTGCCCAGCTCAGAATCAGCTCAAAATTTCTACATGAATTCTTTGTACCACCAATAGTACCCATAAAAAAATTTAACTCGTGCTTTTGAGTTTTAAAACTTAAATATTGGAGTATCCTGCTAATTTGGCAAATTTGGCATTGTGTTTCAAGCACTTTTTTTGACTTTCTAAACAAGCTACGGTTACTAATTTAGAAATGCAGGATCATTTAAAGGTTTTCTACTTGTATATCAATGAAAAATGCTCAAAGGTCAAAAAATGACAAAGTAATAAGCTTGAAACATAATGCCAATTTGGCGGGAAACTTAAAACGTAATTTTTTAACCTCTATTTTCTCGGGATTGACTGGAAAGCGCGATTTAAAAACTAAAAATTTTAAAAAATGAAAAAAAACTTAAAAATTATTTGAAATATTTTTAAAAAATTTTAAGCCTAAAAACAAAATTTTAACCCTAAAAACTAAAAAACGTACGAAAACTATCCCACTCCTCCAAGAAAAGTGTAATAACAAGATGTATGTTTATGTATTTTTTGTCCTACTCGAATTTCCATGGCTAAGAAAAAGTTTTGTTCGAAAAAACTTCGAATGCCCTCGGGACAATATAATATCAAAAGTTATGACAAAAAATAAAATTTCATCCCCACTGTGACATTTTTGAACGTAAATATTTTGAAAAATGTAAACAAAGTTTTGGCTTTGTTGTTAGGGGAGGAAAAAGTAGTAATTACAGAAAAAGTAGTTGTTATTATAAATGGCATTCATTGTATATTATATATTATTATAGATTACTACTAAAATATGAAAAAAAAATTTTGAAACTCTTCTTTACTCAATGCTTAGCGATAGCTGTAGCTTTTAGCTAGAACTTAGCTAGTTCTAGCTTGACCCATAATCCTAGGCTCTGTTCTAGCCTTAGAGCTACGCTAGCTATAGTTGTAGCTTTAACTGTAGATGTAGCAATAGATCTAGCATTAGTCCAGCAGTCCTAGTCTATTCCTAATTCTATTTCCTGCTTTGTCCTAGCCTTGACTTAGCTTATTACTAGTCTTGCTTCTAGCCTTTGTTTTAGTTTTGGGACTAGCCTTTCCTCAGCCTTGCCCTAGCCTTATCTTACCTTTGCCCTAGCCACTATAGCCTTTTTCTAGCCTTGTCCTAGTCTTGCGCCTAGCCTTAGCTCTAGTTTTGACCATAGCCTTGCAGCATTAACTGTGGCCTTAACCGTACTCCTAGCTCTAGATTCTACTTTAGCTTCACTTAAAACTTTTTGTCTTACCAAACTTATGTTTTCATAACTCTTAACATTAATAACAAGCCCAAAACAAAATACAACTTTAAACCCGTTTAAATTGTAACTTACAATCCAAGAATAAACAATTTTTGAAATTTCGGACAGCGTTCCGAAATTAAAGCCCTTAAGTCCCCGAGGCGCTAAAAGTCAAATAATGCGCGTTATAATGGACGTTTATTATCTCGAAATGAAATTTCATTTGAAACCCAAATTTGAATGGCCTTAAGGCTGTCACATCCAAACTTTGACGTCGGTTTATTAAAAAAATGGGTTGGGTGGGGTAAAATAGAGTTTTTGAAAAAAGGAGGTGGAGTAGTGTGTTAAAAGTAGACGTTTTTTTAT